GCTGTGAGTTGGAATAAAGTCAACAGCAGTGGGTTCTTCCAAAGTGCTTCTGAGTGGCCTCAAACTCCCAACCTCTCAGTTAGCAGCCCAGAGCATGAACCGCTTGCTGGACTCCTGGTAAAAAGCCAGGAAGGGAACGTCAGCCCTGGAGCTGTCCACGCTTCGGGCGCCATCTTGCTTTGAGAAGCACTGACTCCTGCAGAATGTAAAGATGGCGAAACGAGGGCCCAGAGATGGGGTGTCACCTCCGGAGTCCCACAGAGAGGCAGGGACAGAGCTGGGCTTCGGTTCAGGCGGCTGACCTGCCAGCCTGGGCCCTTTCTGCCAGCTTCCTGCTCACCCCCACGCCACTGGCCTCTCTGGGCAGGGGCCAGATATTCAGTTTGACGTCAACAACTACTCCCCCCCCCCCCAGTTTCTCTGGCCCTGAGTCTGGTTCTCCAGGGTCCAGAGGTTGGGGGTCAGGTGGTAATGGGACTTGAAGGGGGAGGGGGGCAGTAGAGAGATTACGAAGCCAGCGCCCACCCCGTCCTGCCGTCCCCATCGCAGGATGACCGTCATGAGTCTCCTGGTTCTGGTCCTGAGCTGGGGGTCCATGGGCTTGGAGGCCGCTGCTGCCGTGGTGAGTGCGGCGGGGGGTTGGGGGGCTGGACTCCCGGGTCTGAGGGAGGAGGGGCTGGGGCCTGGCCCCCTGGGTCCTCGGGGACTGGTGGGGAGCGCTGGGGTCTGAGTTCTGTGGGCCCCAGTATGTGGAGCTCTGGAACCCGGGTTAGTCTCGGGTGTGACGCCCTCCCTCCCTTCTCCGGCCCCCCTCAGGGCCTCAGCGACTTCTGCTCCAATCCAGACACCTACGTCCTGAACCTGACGCAGGAGGAGACGGGACTCGGCTCAGGTGATCCCCACGCGCCTGGTTTCCTCAGGTGCCCCCAGTGCCCAGCCTTGCCTGGGGGTGCCGCGCTGAAGCGTGCCCGCCTCGCCCCCGATGCCATCTCTTCCTGAAGGGAGGCGGTAGAGCTGGGGTGGGAGGATTTAGCCACGTGGACAGCACGCGAGGAGCACGTTTTAGTCCGGGGAAAGATGGCGGAAGCGAAGGTTGCACCCTGCGCTCCAGGAAGGGTGGAGACCAGCGTGTGCCTGGGATGGGGCTGGGGTCGCTGCCTGGTCTTCGCGGGAGGCATCACTGGAGGTCTTGAGGGGAGGGCTGGCCGGGGCACCGGGACGGGGGGGGGGGCCGGGGTGCAGGACGCTGCCCCCTCCCGTCTCCCCCCCCCTCAGGGTCTCTGGGGTCCGGGCTCCTCATGGCTCCTCCCTCTCCCCTCCCGCTTCAGACATCCTGAGCTATTATTTCCTGTGCAACCAGGAAGTCTCCAGCCCCTTTCAACAGGTGAGGGCGGGGGCGGGTGGGAGTGAAGGTCTTGGGGCGAGGGGGGCGCGTGTGCAGGGGACCAGGAATTCCGACTCCAGGAAGGGAGGTGGGAAGCGCTGGGGGCCTAGACTTCTGAGTCCCGCGCCCAGAGCCCTGGGTCCTGAGAGGAGAGGGGTGGACGGGGCCTACTGGGTCCTCAGTCCCGTCTTGCTGCAGAGGCTGACCGTGTCGCAGCGAGCTCTGGCCAACATTCACTCCCAGCTGCAGGGCCTGGAGAGAGAGGCAGTGCCGCAATTCCCGGCTGCGCAGGTGGGCCGGCTGGGGGACGGGGCGGGGCCAATGAGTAGGCGGGGACTGCGGGAAGATGGGCGGGGCCCGAGGAAAGGTGGGCCGGCTGCGTGTGGACAGGGCCGGCCGGGGGGCGGGCTGGGGCGGAGCCAGTGAGTGGGCGAGGCCCTAGGAAGGGTGGGCCGGCTGCGTGTGGGCAGGGCCGACAGGGAGGGCGGAGTCGCGGGCGGGGCCTTGGATGGGCGGGGACTGTGGAAGGATGGGCCGGCTAGGAGTGGACAGGGCCTGCAGAGAGGGCGGGGCCTGCGGGGGGATGGGCGGGGCCGGAGGAAGCGTGGCCCTGCTGGGTGTGGGCAGGGCCTGCGGCTGTGGGCGGTGCCTTGTGGGTCTTGTCGGCAGGGGTGTCGGTCACGTGTGGGCCCGCCTGCCGAATGGGGCTGGTTGGACAGGTATGGGCGTGGCTTCCTGGGTGGGTGGGGCCTGTGGAATAGGGCGTGGCTGTGGACCGGTCCCTGGGTGCGGGCAGGGCTGGCAGAAGGCAACCGGCCCTCCAGGTGTGGGCGGGACCTTTAGCTAAGGGTGGGGCCTGCAGAATGGGCTGGCCAGGTGTGGGCGGACCCTTTGGGTGTAGGTTGTGCCTTTAAGTGAAGAGTCGTCTGGCATTCCACACCCAGACCTCAAGGGAAGGTATCCTGGGGTGGGCAAGATATAAGGAATGGACCTGGCTTGAAGAATAGGGCGGGACCAGCAGGTGTGGGCGGGGCCCAGTATTGTGGGTGGGGCCCACAGAATTGGAAAGAGCCCCAGGGGGCGATGGGCAGTCCCGAGCCCTGGGTGGAATAACAACCTCCCCTCCCACTGCAGAAGCCTCTGCTGTCCTTGGAGGAGACCCTCAATGTGACCGAGGGAAACTTCCACCAGTTGGTGGCACTACTGCACTGCCACGGCCTGCACAAGGTGAACCCGCCCCCCCCACCCGTCGTCGCCAATCCCTCCTTCCACACAGCCTTTGCCTGAACCAACAAAAAGGCCTAGCAGACCTGGGCTCCAATCCCAGCTCTGCCCCTGCTAGGCTGTGTGACTCCGGACAAGTGGCTTGCCCTCTCTGGGCTTCTATTTCTTTTTAGTACTGCAAAAAGCCGGGGTGAGGGCGTTGGTCCCTGCCTTGCAAGGCTGTCGTGAGGATGAAAGGACAGACATTTATGCATGCGCCTGTTGGAGTCAAGCAGAACTCCCTAATTCCCTATTCAAACCGAAGAAACAAGCTGGGTGCCTTCTGGTGGGTTCTGACTCCTGTTGCCCCGTGTGCATCAGAGTGAGGCTGTGCCCTGTGGGATTTTCAGGGGCTGATTTTTCAGAAGTGGTTGCCAGGCCTTTATTCCAGGTGCCTCTGGATGGACTCAAACCTCTCACCTTTCAGTTAGCAGCTGAGCACATTAATGGTTCTCACCACCCAGGGACTTCTCCCTCGGCCTTCACTGGCTCCGTAACAGGCACCACCCCCAAGCAATTGTTCAAGTCACAAACCTACAGATTACCTCCGGGTCTCCCCCCTATTGTGGTGAAAATTAAACACAACAAAACATTGACCAACACAACAGCTTACACATTACAACTCAAGGACATTGATTGCGTCTTTCCTGTGCCACCATTATTGGTACAGAAGTAGCCTTTTTGTTTGCTTTTTGCTCTCTGCTCTTGCCTCCCACAACCATTCTGCCAGCAAGTTCTATTGGCTCTTGCGCCAAAAGCTACCTGGGATCCGGCCACCGCCAGCCTCCCCCAGCCTCCATGCCGGCACCCACATGCCTGTGGCCCTGCCTGTGCACCCGCACTCGGCCTCCACGCACCCGCCTGTCAGCCTTTTAAGACTCCATTAGCTCAGATCTTCCTCCACTTAAAACCCTTTGGTAATTCCTAAGGTGCACAGACTAAAGTCCCCACTCCTTGCCCTGACCTGCAAGGGCCCTGGCTACATTTCCAGCCTCACCCCTTTCCACCCCTTTCCTCAGACTGGTTGCCATGGAGTCGAGTGTGACCCTGGTGACCCCATGTGTGTCAGAGTAGAAGTGTGTGCCATAGGATTTTCAAAAACAGATTTTTCAGAAATAGATCATCACGCCTTTCTTCTGAAGAACTCTGGGTGGACTAGAACCGCCAATCTTTCGGTTACCAGCTGAAAGTTTTAATCATTGCCACCAAGCAGGGACTCCCTCTTGATCCAGTCCAAGTCCATTTAGTCCATTCTGACCCACAGCGCCCCTAGAGGACAGAGTGGAACTGCCCACAGGGTCTCCCAGGCTGTCAATCTTCACAGAAGCAAAGCCCAAACCACACCCCCTGCCTGGAGTCCATTCTGACCCACAGCGCCCCT